CCCCAAAACCCCAAAACCCCAAAACCCCTTTTATGGTATGGGAAATTGAGATGTAATAATTAAGATTAGAAATATGTAGATGAGTGTTTGGAGTGAAGATGTGTGATTTGCTTGACAACAACTCTTTCCAAAGACTTATGTTCAACATATTGATGATAAAAATGTTAATCTGCAACAGAAGGAGAAGAGAGGAATCCCTCTTAAAAATGAGAAATATGAGGTTCATTTTGAAATGAAGCTGCCTTTTTGTTACAACTGCATGACAAATGAAAAAATTAAGTCGATTAGAAATAAGTTCGAAGTCCCGAAGATTTCAGAAGATATCTTTCATAAAACTGAAGATTCACATGATAAATCAGGTAATGCTTTAAACAAACTTCTGTTTCCTTGACAGATATGACTTTACGATTCCAAGGCAAGTGTACATATTTTGGAAAATGAACAATATTTATATTACTAGTGTAACTCTGACCTTCAAAATCTAAAACCACTTTATAAGGCTGAATATCTTTCCACTGAATGAGATATTCTCTCTATCACCTACCTAAAAGACTCGTTCTAATACTAAAGATACAAATATAAAAGCATGTTCTCGTAAGGAGTAAAACGCTATACATCAATACTCCTACATGGACACATTAAGAAACCCTCTGAAGAAAATTCAGAAATATTTTACACTTCTCATAATCTTTTTGAGGAATTTTGACTTTTTGCAATAACATGAAAATTCTTAAAGAAATCAATTATTTTCTCTTCTAAAAATTGAGAGTAACTCTAGCATGTTAAAATTTGATTTTGTGGCTTGTAGCAATTATGTGGGCTTCTTAATCCTGTTAAGTTCCATCTCATATTGATTTAGCCAAGTTGTTATTACCCCCTTCAAAAGTTTCAAAGAGTAAACCAAGAAACACTTCTGCTCATTTGAATAAATCTGATTGATGAATTTCTCAGGGAGCCAGAATAGGAGGAATAAGGTTAGGATGACAGATTGAATGGATTGGTGAAAAGTCTGCTATCTTTGCTAGGAAATATAGACAGAGAGGTAGATAACTCTAAAAAGAAGTGTTAAGAGCCTTTTTAGAAGCTTATTATACAGTTATTATCAAATTTAGTAACAAAGGTTCTTGAATTTTGTGTAGGGATATTTCCAACTATAGACTTTGACCTGCGCTCATCAAGTACCTCTGGTTCAGACTCAGAGTTAGTCTTGCTCTCATTATCTTCTTCAGAGTTGTAGGTCTCATCTTCTTCTTTGTATTCATACGAGCCGGCTATTTCTTTGTCTAGGCACCTTCATTTCTCTGAAGGAAGCTTTATCAAGCCATATTTTCTGTCTTTCAATGTTGTTGTGTACATTTTCAAGTTATCGTTGACTTTATAAATTCTGAAAGTATGCCTTCTGTCAATATTTACAAATCTGAGCTGGAGAACTGACAGAAAACTATATCGATCTTTGATGTCATATCGCTGATCAAATTCTGATGGGCAATGTAAAACAACCTGATTCTTTTGAGAATCATCATCAATCGAAGGTGATCTCAAAATAGCTCAATCAAAGAGAATTATGTGAGTCTTTCTTGACTACTTGTCTTTATTTGAATACATAAAGATGGGTTGTTGTCAGGATTAATATTCTCTCCTGAGGGATTTAATGCCTATTAATTTTCATAACTTTCTCAGAGAACACCACTATCTCATCTTTAGCTAATTGCTTAGTATATTTGTAATCTAACTCAATTCTCAATTTATCCAGTGCTTCCATGTAAATTTTAACTAATAATTATATTTCCAGTTCAATATTTATATCCTTATAAGGGGTTTTGGGGTTTTGGGGTTTTGGGGTTTTGGGGTTTTGGGGTTTTGGGG